TTTGGTGTTGTTCTCGTCGACGCGTGATCTTTATGCGCCATAAATTGATCGGCCGGTGACCATTCGATTTTCTTAGTGCATTTGAGCCTTCTAGAATCTCCCAGTTGATTTTTTGACAGTTAGATTGGGTCAGATCCAACGGTAAAGATTAATTGTGCTTATGATGATATATTTAGGGTTTAAAAGCCCTAGCTCTCTTATTATCCTAACCGTTGATCTCCATCTTGATCTAACGATTCATGTTTGTGTGGCGCCAAGGTTAAGTATAAAACCCTAGCTTCCTTGGACTTACTTCTTGGGCTTGGCAGATTCGGCCTACTGGGTCATGCAGGCTATCTGCTGAGATTCGTGACCTCTGTTAGACCTTGCCATCATTTTATACTATGGACATTGGCACTTGGACTGAAACCTGAAAATAAAGACAAAAAGTTAATAAAACAAAATAAAAATAATAATATGTAGTAGTAGTAGTACTAATAATATGTATACTATATATATTTTAAAAACTATATAATATATATTATATTTCAAAAATGATATAATATATTTTCCAAAATTATATATATTATATATGTTTTCAAAAACTATATATTATATGTTTTGAAAATTATATAATGTATTTTTAAAAAATATATTATATATTTTTAAAAACTATATATATTATATATTTTTGAAATTATTTTATATATATTATCATATATAATATCTAATATAAATATTGTAATAAAGACCCTTGATATTTTGGACGAAAATGGGTGTCTACAACTCCCTATGGGTTCGATATCCGTAGCATTAGTTCGCTACCACTTTATTACTTGGTTTACGACACGTGCACTTGTGTAATTGCCATAACATTTTTGTAGCATGAAAGCACACCAAAAAAAAGGGAAGAAAATGAAGGAAATTGATGAATGTTCAGTTGTTTTTATCTATTAGGTCACCTCCCAAAAGGTTTTCAAAATGTAGGTACCTTTGGTATTTATAGAGGGAAATATTTCTAGGGTTTTGGGCCCTAAATTCCCTCTGTACCCTAGGAGTCATCATCCCCACGTGAATGGGCGGTTAGGGTGGCAGGTGGTCCCAAAAATTACATCAAGGGCAATGTGTCATGTATGGCTGGACAACTTGGCAAAGATATTTTTGATGTTTTGTCTTTTCTTCATTAGATTCTATTGTCCATCTTTTGCTACAACAAGTCTTTCTCTGGAATGCTACAACAACCATCCATCACTTGTTGCAGCACTTTTTCTCCAGGATGCTACATCAGCCACATATTCTCCTTAAGCATTCCTCACTTGTACAACACCAAAATAGCAAAACCATTCCCTCAGCAGCATCAGTTTTCAACAAATAAATGATGTAGTAAGACTTTACCGCCAAATGCAACTACATGGCCTAAACGCAATCTAAATGCTATGACTCTCTTAAACAAACAATACTAAGTAAAAAGACACAAAATACAACCTTTTATGGGATTATCAGTAATGAATCAAGAACATCATCTCTAAAAAGTTATTACAATTATAGGAATTCTTTGATTGAGAGTGTCACTTTACAAAATTGAGACATGAACTTTAGGAGTCAAAGTAAATAATTGAGACAAATAGAAGAAGAATATTTGGATTAAAATAAATTTAGGGTCACAAATGGTCCCTTAACTATTTGGCATTGGTTTGTTGAGTTCCCAACTATTAAAAGTTATAAAATGGTTACTTGACTATTCATATGTTACAAGCTCATCCTTATTGTTAATCTTTTTTACGGTCATCTAAGTTGAACGTTAACAGCTGACTGAGATATGATAAATCATATTTTGATGATGTTTATTGGCATCTATGTTGCTTTCAAGCACTAGCTCGAGGGTATAATATTTTAAGCGATGACTCGATGACATAATGTAAACAGAGTCTATTTAAAAAAATACAGCTCAAACGATTTTGGGATCATATTTAATCATATCTCATTTAATAGGTTTATGTATAGCTTAGATGGCCACCAATTTTTAACGAAAAATAATAAGCTTGGAACATATGAATAGTCAGATGACCATATTGTAACTTTTAATAGTCGGGGGACTCGATAAAATAATGCGCTATAGTCGAAGGACCATTTTATAACTTTTCATAGTCAGACGACTCAATAAAAAAACACCCTATAATTGAGGGACCATTTATATACGTTACCTATAAATGATGGTCAAATGCTAAGTTAGGAAGGAGTTATTAATTAAGAGTCATGGTTACTAAATACTAAATATAATTTTAAGTTGCATGAAACAACTTATTCCAGTGGTTAAAAGAATAGTTGTTATTTTAGAGGTCACGGGTTCAAACACCAGCGATTGCAGCAGTAAGATGATTGAGCGTTCATTGTTGAATGGTTGAAAGTATTTAGAACAGATATTACTTTATAATCACATTAGCTTAATAAAAAAAATATGGTTTTAAGTTAAATATTAAATTGAAAATAAAAAATTATTTTGGCTTTTAAAATGGGCCAGTACCTTTTAAATAATGGTAAAACTTTGATGATTTATGTTGCCAAAATACAAGCTATAAAAATGAAGGAATTGAGCCTTTTTTCCTTACGTCTATTAGTTGTTTACTCTAAATTTCCATTTTATTTTTCAGAAAATAAAAAAAAAATAACTTTAAAGGTGGTTGGATGAATTTTGGATTTTTTTTCTTTTAAAATAAAAAATAACGTTAGGAATTACCACCATTTTTTTAAGGTGCGATTAGATCACCAAAATTATTATCAATTTAATTAAATTTAATTTTGATAAAAAAATAATAAAAATTACAATTTTTAGATCTGCATACTAGAAAAAAGAATTTGAGAGTCGATTACGGGTGGAGAATTGTAAGCACTAAGGATGTTCAAGTTAATCTGTTACATTTTACATGTTAATTAACCAAAATTGTTAAGATTGAACCGCTAAAAATATCGATTAACGATTACGTTTATGAATTTTTATAAATGATTAATTATCGGTTGACTGTTAATAAATTATAATTAATTAATTCTTATCTTCAGAGAATAAAATTAGAAATAAAATCAAAATGGTTCCTCCCTATTTTTTAGTTATCATATTTATGTTATATAAGAATACATTAAATCAAACATAGATGAAAGAAATAATTGATTTTAAATTGTAAAATATAAATATGCAAGTAAGATTTTAAACTACAAAAAAAATAAACTTCATAGTATATATATAGTGTATTTATAAATAAATAAGATTTTTACAAATATATATCTTTCAACGTAAAGTTTACGAAATTTTAAAACTTTCCTGTTATTGTGTTGTATTTGAAAAAAAAATAATAGGTTAACCACATATTAACTTGTAATTGAACCGTAAATAATGGTTATTTGTTAGCAGTTAACCATTTCTTAGTGATTATGTTATAGTGATTAATATTTAACATTCATTGTAATAATTAACCAATTTAAGCTATATGGTACGATCAACCGACCATAAACACTACTAATAAACATTCACGCAACGCCTTACTCGAAAATTAAAAAAAAAAATAATAATTCATCATTCCAATGAAGAGAAAATGTACTTAATGCATTAAAGCCATTATTTCTCTCTTCACTCGAAATCAACAATATTATTATTTCACTAAATATTTTCGATGTTAACAATTACTCCAGTTTAATGAAGGAGGAAATGATCTAAGCAAATTAATTACGAGGATAACATACATCCTTAATCCTTTTAAAGAAAAAAAAGTGTTTGGTTATTTAAAAATATCAAAGCAAAACCTTTAACGAGGTTAAACAACTTTTTCTCAATAGGTTTGAGTGAACGTATTTTCCCTCTTATACCCAAGTTTAAGTGTGTCGCCATCTTTTAGGGTTTTACTTATTAGGAAATCCTTTCATTTTAAATTATCATAATAGACTTTTTAAAACCTTAAGACGATCATTTCTGGATGATTTAAAACGATAGGACACTGTCCTTCATCAAATTATGGAATCAATTGTATGTTTACAAGAATAACATGCATACTTTCGAATGATGTAATGCATCTCTAAGAGAACGTCTTTTCTAAAAATGTTTTTCTTCTTTCAACGGAGTAATTTTAAAAGCAGAATGATTCCTCACTTTTAGACTCATAATTCAAATAAATCATAAAAAATGAGTTTATTAATTGTCAAAGAAATCAATTATCATTTTAATCCTCAAAAATTATAGATCTTTGACAAATATCAAGATTACTAATAATTTTGAAACATAGACAGAGAGAAAAGTGTTTTAATCAGATTTAGTAACAAAAGCTAAAAAGCAAACAATATTTGAAGGAATACTATTATCATTAATAATCATAAAATTGACTGTTTAACTAAGTTGAAGATAGAAAAAACATATAATCTTACATATACTTTGATACAATGCAGAACAGATAAATAGGGCAAATAAGATAAAGAAAAAAAAACATAGAAGATTTTTCTTTGGAAAATGACTATATAGAGCTTTTATACACATAATATGTTGCTTATCTGAACCTTAAAATTTGCAATCTAAACCCCTATTCTTAAGGCCCTATATCTTAAATTCTATATCTTATAACCTAATCTCCTAAACCTTCATATGTCGAATAAATCAATAAATTTGTGTAAAATTATACCCCCTGTATATCAGATAATTTTTCTTATATATATAGTTGATGAAATAATGTCATAATTACACAACGAAAATCAAAATATAACCAAAAGCATCAAACATAACACATGAAATATTAACAGACAGGAAGAAAATACAAACACCCTGAAATCTATACGATACCAATTTTTAAGGTCTAAAAATTTATATAAATAAAAAATATCTTAAACGTGATTGTACAGAAAAAAAATCACAAACATCGCATGCATCTACAAACAAAGGGTCTCATACTCCAAGAAACTACAAATTGCCTTCATTTTCAAGTTCCCATCAGAACTGGAGAGCATCAAATCATAAAGTCAATATAGTTCACAAAAATAGCCAATTAGAAAAGACAATTACTGATTAACAAAAAAAAAGAGAAAATAACACAGTCAACACACACAATTAGCACATTACTTTTCTACACATCAATAAATGATTGACAGAATACAAGCGTTTATTGTTTTTACAATTTCCATAGCATTATCCCCTCCCCCCTTCTCCGAATTTATCTATATCGATATCTATATAAAGAGAGATAAGATCCAATTATATTGTATAAAACTCTTTTAGTTTTACAAAATTTAGAAAGTTGATGAGTCAAAATAGATGGCTACGATTAACATTAGAAAATGAAAAGATATTCACAGGAAAAAAAAGAGTTCCAGCCATCTATTTTCACTCATCTAACGGTTTTAAATCTGTGTAAAACTAAAAGAGTTTTACATAATGTAATTGGATCCTAACCCATATATATATTCTGATGGCTTCAAAACTTGATAGATGCATAATATAGCCTAAAAGCAGCATACTTAAGTTTAACTGCCAAGCTTCGTTTGGCTGCTGGTATCAAGTTTACTTGCTTGGCGGTGGTGGACTTCAGTGCTTCAGGTCATGCTACCTCGGGTCCGGACTCGGTCAATAAGCATTTGCCGACCAGACAAATCTTCTTCATAACCCACCACCTGCATTTTCCAAAATAATTACATGGGTTGAAAAATAGAAAGGGGGATGGAACTTTTAAGACAAGATCTGCAACCTGAGACTCTGTTTGTGTTTCACTGAAATTATCATATAGGCCACCCACATTTGTATCTCGAGAATGACTGCTGATTTCATCTTTTCTGAGAGTCCTGAAAAGGGGAAAAAAACAGCATTAAAAATAATTCCCCATTGACGAGATATCCCAAAATTCAGTAGGTTCATTTCTTTTTTTAGGCTTTTGTAGGCATATGCAAGCCAGTTGAGAAATGTTCAGCCATTAGTAATAAAAATGCTAAAGGGGAGAACGATTATTTGGTAATGGTATAAAGAGGCTACCGATTTAACCAGTGACTGGATAACCCAATAACAGAATGAGGATCGGTAGGATCTTGACGATGACCCGTACAATCAGATGAAAATATCTGTTCTAGATCAAGGATTGCTACAAATAAACTTTTATAAGAGATAAAGGGTAGACATTCAGAAATCGGAAATATCAACTGATACAAGGATACACTTCTTTCGCACCCATTCCTCTCTGGTGATTTCTGATCATGAATCTTAAAAAGCAGAAGAGATAATTGACTCAACCAACCATCAATCTTGAAACAATAAATCAGTTAGAAATTATGGTCAGGAGGAACAATAATACTCACCTTACTAGTTTGCTCCAGTAAGTCTTCTATAGCAGTCGCTACATCAGGCAAAACTTGAGCTGCTTCACCTGCAATTTTTAATTTTTCATTTTCAATGGAATTTTCATTCAGAAAGGGGTGGTATATATGCACTCCAGAAGCATTCTGGTCATCTGCTTCCAAGTGCCTAGCCCTTTTAAGATGGCCATTTGGTTGTTTGGCCTCATCTCTAGAGCCATCGTTTCTACCACCAACAATGCATCCATTTTTAACATGAAGATCTTGTGTTCTCAGGCCCTGTGATTGACTCGTAAAACCAGATGGAACATCCACAGACATCAGCTGAGTGGCTTGAGTCGAAAATTGGCTCACGGTGCATAATCCTGCTTCTTGGTCTTGAGCAGTAACTCCTTTCGGGCAAAATGGATCCAGAGAAACAACTTTCTCTACGAGATATGAATTGCACACGTGAAAATTTGTTGATCTTATCATTTCCAAGGAAACAAATAAACAAACATAAACTTGGGGCAGTCATGATTGCAAATGCGTAATTAAGCAGATGAGCACAGAGGGAGTGGACAGAACCATACCTGCCTTATACATTCATATATCCACTCTGATGTAACTGATTGTATTCCCCATTTACAAGCAGCCTCATATTTCGGTCCACAGGTAAACTTGCATAATAAATGGGTCACTTTTTTAGTAAGTTTTTCCACAAACTTAGCTCCAAGAATAAAGCACAGATTTCTTAATAGCAATCTATCCTTCTCTTCATATTGTGAAACACAAAAGCGAAAGCTTTTAAATCCAGGAAAAGGAATTTGACAAGGAAGTGGGGAATAGAGAATATGACTTCCAACATCCAGCAGGCATCCATCCTATAATACAACTTTTCCATTAGCATTGACAAGCTTGATGGTTTAGAGCAAAGAAACCAAAGGAAACAGCAGTAGCAGTTATTGCAACAGTAATAGACAAAGTACAGATTGCATTATATGTAATGGGAACCAAAGAGGAAGTTTTAAGCAAACCTCTAAACAAGACCGGACCCAGTGAGTAGAAACACAAGTAATCTGGGAATCAGTGATAGAACTGAGCTGACCATGACACTCGATAATGAAATTGACTTTCTTTTTTAGATGATTCTCAACAACCTCCCCTCCACCTTGATCCACCCATTCAACAATTTCAGCTCTCTAGCAGAAGAAATCAAAAACTTAGAAATATTGGGGAAAATAACACTAGAAAAAGTCACCTTTGGAATTCAGATACAGATAACAATACATAGATTCGATGTAAGAAAATATATCAGATAAAAAAATACAACATGCTAAAACAGTTCAAAAGCAGTTAAATATCTGAGATGTTAGACAATGAAAACATGAGGGGAAAATCTTCAGAATGTAACCCCATATAGTCTTAGTAAGTTTTTCAGAGTATATTTCTTACCCTATCTTCAGGAAAAGAAACTGAAAAACAAAATGTTTTCCCCTTAAATACAGTTGAAACCCCATTCTTATGATTTTGGACTACTGGGTCACATTGCTTCTTCTGCCAAACATTATTTGCACTATTTATTCTAGGCAGTAGGACTTGCTTGGATGATCCTACAGGAGCTTCCAAACAGTTGTCATTCATGTTGATTTTGAGCTTATCATCTAGATTTTTCCCTGAGGCTGATGGCATTCCATTTCTGCAGTTTGAAAGAACTGGGGATTTACTTTGATTTGAATTGATGATTCCTGTCACTGCTCCTCTGACAGAGTTTACAGAATCTGTGCAAGCATGGTCAGTTAAACATCATGAAAAATAATTCAGAACAGAAGTCATATAGTGCTTACTGATGGAATATCTAATTCAACAATCCAGAAAAAAAATTCTATCATTTTCTGATAAGAAAATGGGTAAAAAACAAAATATATCTAGCATGAACATGAATCAAGATGAAGATACGCAAGAGAAGACCAAGGTATTAACTTTAGAAAAAACTGGCAACCTTTAGGAAGAAGTAAGTCATTCGCAACATGCCTCTGACGAACAGGGATTTCTTTCTTTTGACGGTCACAGTCTTCAAGCCAGTTGGTCTTTACCACATGGATGACACCTGAAGCTGCAAAACTTCTTACCTCTTTCTTTTCCCTAGGCAATAAGATAAACATGTGAAAGATGAAGATTTATGAAAACGGGGGAAATAGTCCAAAATAATCAGCATGCCCACTGAATACCCAATGTAACAAAGGTATCATAACACTGAACCCAGAAGACGTCAGAACATGGCTTGCAAAGCACAATTTGAAAGAACCCAACAAAGAAATTCAAATGTAGAAAGAAAAGAAACAAGGAAATAACCAATATTATTTGTAAAAAAGAAAAAGAAGAAATACTTACGATTCAGATGGAGTCCCAACAACTATGTGTGTCAATTTATCATTACATGACATATACCGAGAAGCACCGCCTCTGCGCACTATGGCAACCAGCTTACGCATTTCAGAAGCTTCAAAGCCAACAAGCGAAATTCTACAATCTGACAAATATAGATCATTGTCTTCAGATTGAGAGTCATTGGCAACACAACCATCAAGCTTTGTTTCACTAGAAGGCTGAAAACTTGGTGCTTCACCACCATCCTCTTTAAAATTGACCCGAGCATCTGATACTGCAGAAGACGTGTTCTGAGAGAGAGTAGCTTCAAGATCTGCATCTCCCAATCCGGTAGAAGGCACAGCGGACAAATCAAATTCAGGAACCACCGAGGAAGTTGCAGGCACTGAACTTCCCCTATGCTTGTCTTGACTATACTGTGCAGACAAGGAACTACTAACATTTTTCTTTGAAGATGCACAACCACCCTGGACGGGATAGGACTCCTCATTAAGGCATGCTATTCACCGGGGACAAAAAGGATTATTCATGGTCAGATACGATGTCTAAAGTCATTGATAATACATGTCAGCAAAAATATCATAAACTCAGGAGTACCAGACATTGTTAACAACATATAGCATTACCTCTTCTAGCAATGGATTGATGAAACCATTTTCGAACTACAATATGAACATGGCCCCATCTTCGACCAACTTTATACTTGTCACCTTCAGGAGCTTACAGAAAGTCAAGATCACAATGAATAAACAGAAGTGATCAAGGATGATTATTCTGAGAAGAGTAAATGATGGAAATAAACTGTTGACAGGGGTGCAATGCATACACATCAAAAAGAAGCAAGAAAATTACAAATGGCTTTTATAATGTTCCTTGAACAGAAATGAACAGATGGTTTTATGAAATTAAGATAAACAAATGCAATAGGGCATTATTAACATGAGTTAATTGATCGAGGTATGAGAGAGTAGAAACTAACAATGAACAACTAAGAGCAGCAATTTGGTCATCTAAAGGAACAACATAAAGGATATATCGCAAATCAAATGTGTGCATTTCTTGGTGAGTTCAGCTGAATATTTCCCACCATTTTGTATGATCAGCTTTTCAACCTCTTTTCGCTCATCTGAGAGGAAGAGGATATTAGAATTCAATGATTAAGTAGTCTGTCACTAGCAGTCACGATATGTACTTGACTTAATAACCTGCAGGAATTCTGGTAACACATATTGTCAATCCAGTAAAAGGAAGAACCCTGTATGAATCCTGAGGAACAACACGGTGTTCACTCCAACATTGATACAACCACTGAACCGCAACAATCGGTTTCTTTAAAACATTGAGAGCCCACTGCACAGATAGAAAAATAAATATAATTATCAGTGATGGCATATAATAAAGTGATGTGCAACCATTAACTTCTTTCCGATAATAACTTATCGAAAAAACTCCAAAGATAGTCATTCTCAACTTCTTAGTATAATATAAAGGAATTATTTAAACTCCAGCTCAAATCCAAATGTGCACAAAATTAAAAAATACGTTACTAAAATATTCTACAAGCATTCATTCCCTATTAGCACTCCCGGGCATGTTTTCAAGCTTCTCGTACCACATTCATGCAGAATATCCAAATATGTGACCGGATACCTATATCATAGACCTCTCACCTAACTCAACTTGGAAAGATATTGAGTAATAGCAATTTAGCTGATTTCACTATGATGCATTCTAAGTTCATAAAATCAATAGCTTTTAAGAATATCAAAGCCCCATCCATCAATGATGAGTTCATAACGACACTGATGAAACAATATTTGCACTCTTAAACACTGATGAAAGAGAGGGAGAATTATTTTAGGAGAATCATACCTTATACTTTGCAGCCAGGACATTCTTTACAATGACAAAGCTAACATCTAAAGATGCTTTAGTATGCAAAACTCCCCCCATGGCTGTAACCAATTTTTCAATATTAACCTACGAAAAAAAATCATAATAACAAACAGTCAAACTTGGGCTTCATGTAAGTAATTCAAGTAGATAAGAATAAAAGTATTTGCATGAATCCCAATTGTGATACCTTCTCATCCATGTCGAAACCGGACACAAGTACTTTGAGGCCGTCCATCGCAAGGCAGCAACTAAAACCTTGTTTAGGTAAAGCTCTATTTTCAGTTGCACAAGAAATAACACATTGAGGACCTAATACCCAGAACAAAAAAAATTCATCACCAAATTACTAGCATAGTAAAGTTAAGAGGACTTAAATCAAAAAACCGGAAAGAATTACCTAGCAAATTGCATCCTTTAGCACTAAGATCCTCAAATTTCTCCTGAAAAGGGAGAAGAAACTTAAGAAAGATTTCAAATACACTGTGAAATGAAATAATTGCGGGAGAAAAAGGAGGACTACATGATCGATTGAGGAGATAATGTGGAAGTCGTCGGGGCCGTTTCGAGAAGGGTCGCTACAGAGGAAGACTTGGGCACCGTTATCCTTGAGAACGCCGTGGAGTTTGTCGAATACTTCGGGGGGGACAAGGTTTCGCGACATGAACACGTTCGATCCCGTAAACGCCTTCACCTTCGCCTTCGTCATCATCATTTCTTACTTTTTTCTTTTCTTTGACGATTGCTCAATTTCGATCTCGATTTACTTTTTCAATAGTAATCTGTTCGAGTTGAGGTGAGTCGGAGAGTGGTGGTACTGAGTTTGTTTACTTAAACTTTGTATTTTGGGGGTTTTAGGAGAATAGGACGATAACTTCTAAATATAAGGTGAATAATTTAGGGCCGTTCGATCAGAAATGGATTTAAAAATAATTTCATGACTATTAAGAGTTTAAAAAATCACGAACAATTTAAAAAAATATATATTAAATTTTTAAAATAAATTATTAATAATATTAATATATATAAATATATATATATATAAATTAAAAATATAATTATCGTAACCGTCTTCGGGTGGTTCCGAAATCGGGTTCCGACTTAAATTTATGTGTTGAAGTCATCACCGATCATTTTAATTTAGTTGATCGAATACCATAACTTACTGTTATCTGATTTACAACTTACCATAAATTTGTCGGATTCGGGAGTCGATTACAGTGAGAGAGGATTAGCACTCATGTACTGCCCTTTCGATACCAATTTGATTTCCCAATTGTATTAATTGCGAAAATTAAAAGTTAAAATTTAAATTTAAATATTCGATCCGAATTACTTACTTTTGACTAAGTTAAAATTACCCTAAAAAGTCAAATTAATGTTAAAAAAATTAAAAAATATATTAAATTAAAAGAAAACAAATATTAAAGAAGGATTAAATTGAAAATAATTAAAAATTAGGGGTCAAATTGTTGCTAAATGAAATTGCAAGGAAAAATAAAAAAGTTAGGGTGTTAATTTGCAAAATATAAGAAATATAAACGGGGATTAAATTGAATTAATTCAAAATTGAAGGGCAAAATTACAATAGGTGATCAAAATGAATTACACATCAAAACTGCAGGGACTGCGAAAATAATTTAACTATATAGTAATTACATAGAGGCCCTCCATATAAATAGCCCTTAAAACCCAAAAATCATTCATTTCTCACCCATTTCTTAAAAAAAACTCCCCCATCTCTCAAACCAACCGGCCAAGTGTCGGCACTTGTCGCTCGGATCGCCGTTTCGGTCACCGTCTCTAGTGGCCGAGAAAGCCTAAACTACCCAAAACGTTCCCCTCAACACCCCAAAGCCAGGACTAGGCCCCAAAGGTCAAGAAAAAGCTTCAATCGACGTAGATATAAAAAAAGGTTCCGGGTTTTCCTTTGTTCGACGGTGACTTTCGCTTTCCCATCAGTCTTTCCTCCTCCTAGCAAAACTGAGGTTGAAGCTTGGTTTTTTATGATTTTTTTAGCAGTCTACTGAATATTTTTTTGGCTTGATGCTTTTTTTTTGTATTTCGATGCTTCGATGCTTTTTTGTGTGTATTACGTTGTTTTTCTATGTGTGCTTGGTTTCTTTGGTTGCTCAGGCGATGTGCTCTCACTTTGATGGTTCACGGGTTATATAGCCCTTCTTGCCGATGGTTATTTCTGAGTATCTCGGGGTTGTTTCCTTGTTATCCAATTCATTCGGGGTGTTGCTTCACATACGGGAAATAGTTGTTACCGATTTCGTCGTGATTTGCTTTTGGTTTAACACGTACCGTTTCCTTCGTCGATCGTTATGCGTTGACCGATCGCCAGGCTTGTGGTGCTCCTATTACTTTAGGGTTCATATAACCCTAACCTCTATTGAGTCAGGCAGATGGGCTTCTTTGTTGGGCTTGACAGCTAGTTACTGAGTCAGGTGGGCATGTTGTTGTGTTTTCCGGATTTGGACCTTTCCTCTAGACTTTTGGACTCTTTTATTAGACCTAAATAAAAATAAAATAAAATAAAATAAAAGTTAAAAAATAGATAAGAAAACAGAAAATAAAATACTAATACTAACACTAATAATATGTATGTATTAAAACTATATAATATATATTACATTTCAAAAACAATATTATATATTTTCAAAGATTGTATATATTATATACGTTTTCAAAAACCTTTTTAAAAAACTATATATATATTCAAAAAATATATTATATATGTTTCAAAAAACCGTTTTAAAAACTATATTATATGTTTTCAAAAATATGTTTTCAAAAACTATATTATATATGTTTTCAAAAACCATTTTTTAAAAAATATATATATTATATGTTTCCAAAATATGTTTTCAAAAACTATATTATATATGTTTTCAAAAAACCATTTTAAAAAACTATATATTATATGTTTTCAAAAATATGTTTTCAAAAACTATATATATTATATATTTTTGAAATTATTATATATATATTATTATATATACTACATAATGTAATAAAGGCCCTTGAAGTCCCGAACAAATATAAGTGTCTACAACTGCCCCTTTTGCCTATTTATCGTGTAGCAAGCAATAGGGCAAAAATAAAAGGACACAAATTTTCGTTCGGTAGGAATGGATTCCACAAGCGAATTTGCTCCTGTGAATTTGATATCTTTTATTGCAATTGAAATCCGACTTAATGTTCAACTCGACACTCTTATCAAATATCCTCCATCGCGGAGTTGAAATTCGACTCGAAAACTCTTATAGGAAAATGGTTCCTGTTGTTTAGCTGAATTACAGATGACTCCTTCTTCGTGAAGTTGAGTCGATCTTGGATGACTTTGAACACGACATCCTTCGTCATGAAGTTGAAATCGTGGTTGACTCTTACATCATGAAGTCGAGTCAAACTTAGATGCTTTGAGCATGATATCTTTCGTTTGAAATTGAAATCTAGCTCGATGCTTAGGTTTGGTTGTAATCCCTCGCATTTGATTTGATCTTGTGCCTTCTTCTAGCCCAATATCATTATTCGTGAAGTTGAAATTTGACGAGACGACCTTAGTTGAGAAATAGGTCTCCGTCGTTGATTTGAACTATTTTGTGGATGACTCTTTCGCTGTGACGTTGAGTCGATCTTGAATGCCTTAGGCACGATGTCCTTCGTTGTGAAGTCAAAATCATGGGTGACTCATTTGTCGTGAAGTTGAGTCCAGATTGAATGTTCTTCTAAGTCGGATATCCTTCGTTGTCAAGTTGAAATCCCACTTCGATAAACTGGGTGTTCTTCGAGTTCAATATCTTCGTTGTGAAGTTGAAATTAACTCTAACAAAGATATGCAAAATTGTACCCATGTGTGCAATGCTATAGATGCAATGTTCTTATGTATGCATGAAATGCATATGCAAAATTTTTCACTCTAGGATTTTCTGCTTTAGAGAGAAATCTTAATATCTATCTGTAAGTCTAGGTTTCTTGACTCTTGCCAATCCTGATTCTTGGTTCTTGATTTTCTGATCCTTAACATATTTTGAACTGGTACCCTCTTGGAAATTTATGTTTTAGAATTGAATCTTGATTTTCTTCTGTAAATTTGATTTTGTTTTTTAATCAATGTCGTTTCTACTTCTTAGTGAGTTTTAAACTAATATATGTGTCATTCTTACGAGCATTGTGCAAGAACCTCTATCAGCTTCCAACACATGTACTTTCCAAAATGTCTTTGTATAGTAATACACAATGAACTTTTTAAAAGTGAATTAATCATTTTATTTAAATTTAATGCAAGATGGTAAGAAATTGATTTCTCTCGAATAAAGGGCCATATTTATTTAGGAAGAATAAAAATAAAATACATAGCAAACATTCTGAAAAGAGAAGATATTCAAAAGGACAAATAGGTGCCCTAGATCTTGATAATATGGATGCCTTTAAACTAGCATACCGTTAGATGACTTTGAATGTAGTTTTTGTCAAGAAGACTTCGAAGATTGTGACAATGCTCGAAAGAGTGCAAAGTTCCTCCCAAATTATCAAGTCTCTAAAGACTTGGATGCTGATGCAGGGGATCCGAGACAGATGATGCTGAGCTGTCAGATTGCACGTTGATGGCGCTGAGATACCATGAGTTGGCAGATCAGCGCAAAGGCGGGAATTGATTGTGACATGTTCCTCATTGGTGTCGTTTTTGATATGTTTCAGTCTTTTGGCCATAAC